TATTATCATGCCTTATTTCCTTTCACCTCCCACTGCTTGGCCTCCTCCTGTCTGTTGCCCAGCTCAGACTGCACATGCTAACACCTAGCGCTATCCTGTTCCCCCCAAAAATGCCTTATATTTCCACCTTTCCTCAACTCCAGAAAGTTGCAGCCATCCAGAAATTAATTTTGCCCCAATGCACTCACATCTTTCCCTCTCAGATATGACAAAGCCCAATGCACTTTTTCCTGCTCATGAGTTTCTCTCACTGGGTAGTCCAGTCACATCTGGACATCCCTGTGAGAAAATTCCCACAACAGTGCCTGCTGGAGAGCTGGGCCTCTTCATCACTCACAAGCAGCACAGCCTCTCCTCCACTCTGTGGCCCTAGCTTCAGTCCTGTGCCCTCCTCCAGGACCCTTCCCAATCTTCACTCTTCCATTGCTGAGTCTATAAGGTGATATATCAACACTAAGTCCTTTCGAGGAGATGTAAATAACTAAGGAAGGCCAGTGAAACCCAGAAGTATACCACTGATGTCCCCAAAAACCAAGAAAAAAAGTTTCCTACATTCATGAAACAAGCCCTCAAGAACTGTCTGAACTGCGTTAGTTCTACACCAAGAACATTTAAGTTCTCATCAAGTTTCCTCAGAAATTGTCTTGACTGAATGAGGGCAGAGCAGTGGATGTTGTCTTTCTGGACTTCAGTAAGGCTTTTGACACTGTCTCCCATCACATCCTCCTAGGTAAGCTCAGGAAGTGTGGGCTAGATGAGTGGACAGTGAGGTGGGTTGAGAACTGGCTGGATGGCCGAGCTCAGAGGGTTGTGCTCAGTGGCGCAGAGTCTGGTTGAAGGCCTGTAGCTAGCGGTGTCCCCCAGGGGTCAGTCCTGGCTCCAGTCTTGCTCAGCGTATTCATCGATGACCTGGAGGAAGGGACAGAGTGCACCCTCAGCAAGTGTGCTGATGATACTAAACTGGGAGGAGTGGCTGACACACCAGAAGGCTGTGCTGCCATTCAGAGGGACCTGGACAGGCTGGGGAGCTGGGCGGAGAGGAACCTCCTGAAGTTCAACAAAGGCAAGGGCAGGGTCCTGCCCCTAGGGAGGAATGACCCCCATGCCCCCGGACAGGTTGGGGGCTGACCTGCTGGAAAGCAGCTCTGTGGAGAAGGACCTGGGAGTCCTGGTGGGCAGCAAGTTAAGCATGAGCCAGCAGTGTGCCCTTGTGGCCAAGAAGGCCGATGGTGTCCTGGGGCAGAGTTAGGCAGAGTGTTGCCAGCAGGTCGAGGGAGGTGATCCTGCCCCTCTACTCTGCCCTGGTGAGGCCTCCCCTGGAGCTGTGAGAGCTCGGCCTGTTCAGCCTGGAGAAGAGAAGACTGAGAGGCGATCTCATCAACGTGTATAAGTATCTGAATGGAAGGTGTCAAGAGGATGGGGCCAGACTCTTCTCCGTGGTGCCCAGCAACAGGACAAGAGGCAACAGGCACAAACTGAACCACAGGAAGTTCCATCTGAACCTGAGGAAAAACTTCTTCACTGTGAGGGTGACAGAGCACTGGAACAGGTTGCCCAGAGAGGTAGTGGAGTCTCCTTCCCCGGAGATATTCAAAACCCGTCTGGATGTGATCCTGGGAAATATGCTCTAGGTGACCCTGCTTGAACAGGGAGGTTGGACTAGATGATCTCCAGAGGTCCCTTCCAACCTAAACGATTCTGTGATTCTGTGAAAGCCTACCAGTTTCAAAGCCAACACTTTATTACAAACAGCTCAGAAGTCACCAGAAGCTGTAAGCTTGTAGTTTAATATCTAAAAACAACTTCAGTTTCCTTACTTTCTCTAAAATAAATTAGAGAATGACTTTGGACATAAAACCCTTACACCATCTTCTTGAGAGACCATGCATCTGTGACTGCTCTGTTGCTGTCTGGGTTTAGCAAAACGTCAGTATAGAACTTGTGGCAGTTGGATCATTACATGGATTCACTCATAACTGATAAGTGGTCTGTACTGATTTTATAAAACTAGTATACCATTTTAAGTCAATAGCTTCACCTACTTTACACAAAAGTTTTCATTTCTACAGTCTGAACTCCCATGACTACAAACACCAGTATCCTTTCAGGCCGCGAACCATCTTCCCAACTCCGCAAGTTATTAATCCTTGCCTCCACTGGAGCAAGGACATGAAAACAGTGCAACTTCAGCTGTGTGCTCTCTACTCCTAATTTGCTAATGTCAGATTTAAGAAAGCAAACATTTAGCATACAAGCTGTACTTACTGCTACATCAATGACAGTACTCACAATCAACTCTTTTTAATACTTTTTACCATGCCCTTCTGTAGAACTTTCAGAGGCACTGTACAAACACCACTGTTAGGAGAGGAGGAACAGTTAAGCCCTCTTTTCTCCCCCCTCCCAAGTGTGTGCGCTATGTGATACAATGAGCGGCCTGTGTAGAACCACAACGTCAGTACAAAGGGATGGAAAAAAATGCCAATAGAATAAAATTTACCTAAAGGTTACCTATGACAAAGACAACACTTAAGAGACCGAGAAACTATGGACAGTATGTGCACTGAGCAAACATTTGAGTATGGCATTGTACAAGACATGATGCAAGCTGAAGAATTTGTAATATGTGTTCTAGTGCTCTGAGAGATATAAAACAGCATGTCATCCTAATACTCTGACTTCAGATACTGGAATGAAAGTAAATGTACTTCCAGATTTTTAGCACCAGAACTGATTAAAAGTGCACGTATTATAACCATTGAAAACTTTCTTGATACAGTTATTTTGTTCAAAAATAAACTGCCAAAACCACAGAACAGTTAAGTTCGGAAGAGAATTCTAGAGATCATCTGGTCCAATCCCCTTGTTCAAGCAGGGTCAAACTCAGCATGTTGCTCAGGGCCATGTCCAATCAGCTTTTGACTGTCTCCAACAATGAATACTCCACAACCTCTCTGAGCAACCTGCTCCAGCATTCAATTATGCTCTCAGTTTAAAAAAAAAAAGTGGGCTTTGTTTGTTTTTTAAATAGGATTGCCTGTATTTTGATTTGTGCCCACTGCCTCTTCTCCTGATCCCCACTGAGAACAGTCTGCCTCCATATTCTTTACTCTCCCCCATCAGGTATTTATATATATTGATAAGATCACCCTGAGCCTTCTTTTCTCCAGGCTCAACAGTCCCAGCTACCTCAGCATCTCCTCATACGACAGCTGCTTTGCTAGATTCACTCCAGTATGTACATGTCTGTCTCATACTGGGGAGCTCAGAACTGGACCCAGCACTCCAGATATGGTCTCACCAGTGCTGAGCAGAAGGGAAGGATCATCTTACTCAACCTGCTGGCAACGCTCCTTCTAATGCGGTCCAGGAGACCATTGGTCTTTGTTGCCACAAAAGCAAACTGCTGGCTCACGTCCCCCAGGACCTTTTCTGCAAAGCTGCTTTCCAGCTTGTCAGTCCCCAGTATGCAGTAGTGCATGGGATTGTTCCTCCTGAGGTGCAGGACTTGGCTTTCTTCCTTTGATGACCTTCATGAAGTTCTTCTCTGCCTGTTTCTCCAGCCTGTTAAAGTTTCTCTGAACGGGAGCTTAACCATTTGGTCTATTAATCACTCCTCCCAGTTTTGTATCATCCGCAAACTTACAGAGCTGCACCCGGTCCCATCATCCAGGTCATTAAGATGCTACAATATTGGCCCCCAACATCAACCCCCGGGGTCCACCACTAGTGACTAGTCTCCAGGTGGACTTCATGTAGCTAATCATAACACTGAGCCCAGCATTTTAGCCAGTTTTCAACCCACCTCGCACTGTTCACTTATCAGTTTATCCTTCATCAGTTTGCCAAGTGAGGATGTTAGGGAACACAGCGTCAAAATCAAGTCAAGATAAATAACATCCACTGTTCTCACTCCATCCACCAAGCCAGTCACCTCATCATAGAAGGCTATCAGGCTGGTCAAGCATGATTTCCCCTTCATAAATCCATGCTGACAACTGTCCCTTGCCTTCTTATCCTTTATGTGTTTGGAAACGGTTTCTGGGAGGATTTGTTCCATCACTTTTCCAGGGATCAAGGTAAGGCTGACCAGCTTGTAGATCCTTCTTGAAGATGGAAGTGACATTTACTTTCTTCCAGTCCTCAGGAACCTCCCTGAATGACCATGACATTTCAAACATTATCAAAAGTGACCTCGCAGTAACATCAGCCTGTTCCCTTGGTACTTGTGGACGCATCCCATCAGGTCCCACAGACCTGATGGTCAGCTTGTTTAAATATTTCCTAACCTGATCCTCCTCCACTGAAGTAAGTCTTCCTTGTTCGACACTTCCCATCTGGTCT